CCTACGGAGTACCGAAATTTTGAGAGCATCGGAACCGAATTCAAATCGAACGGCTGCACTAACAGACGCGAACGAGTGCCAATGTTAAGCCCTAAACTACACGTGTCCAATACAAAAGGTTAATTATACGTAATTATTACATTAGTGTAGAAAACATCGAGTATCAAAATATAATTAACACGAATTGATTTGCATCTTTCACTAACCAACAACAGCCGTATACTATATTCAGCCAATGCGTTTTTCTTTTTACTTTTGGGAAATTTTGAGCTTTAAATGTGGACGCCGGGTACTTATTGGATGTTGAATGTCACATTGACAATAACAGCGCGGGAATCAGCTGGCTTCATCAATTGGTTCGCCGTGCTTATTAAATATCCCAATGTCACGCTTAACGAATCTACTCATAATGTTCTGTTTTATATTCAGACTTTCACTGGTTTCTATCACAAACGTGGTCGTTTATAGTTCGCGTACAAAACGCATCACAAATCACTTAGATATTAACCCTTCGATACTTCCATTACCATCTTTAGGTTAAATGAAATGCCCAAAGGAACGATCATTATCAGAACCTTATAAGAAGAAACGATGACTAACCATTCAATATGAAAAACGTCGGCGGACGACGCTGATTAAGAATTAAAATAGATTAGATATTAAATAGACATATAATAGACGTACATACGAAAAAAGTATGAATTTATGTTTAATTTTCAGTACCTATACGCGTTGCATCGCTCCGCGCCTATGACCAGAATGTACACGATATAACAAAAAAAAAAAAAAAAACACTCGCTTGGCGCGAGCCTACGATTAGCAATATTTTGATGAAAAATTATGTGGCGATGATTAAATTTGTGACAACATTCATTCATCCCATTCACGCAGGTATATTAAAGAAAAACTACTAATCTAATAGAGGACTTAAGAATTGGAAATAAGATCCCTTAGCCTACAACCTAAGCGAGTTCCAAACCGAATAATTATATGCCGCTCAGGCGCTATCCTTAATATGTGCTTCTAACACACTAATAGTAATTAAAGATAAAAGACGAAGTACGTATACTAAAATTAAACACGAGATATAGTTATACCTTCATAATAATTAACAATTTTTGCCTCTAAAATTACCAACATAAGACAAAATTTATTTTAAAGCAATGATAAAATAAATAATTTGTTAAGAGAAACAATCGAGGATTATGTTTAGGATTTACAGCGACTATTTCGTAAAGATTATCTAGTTGAGTGTTACTTTTTATATGTATTAGTTTTTTTTTTTCATAAAATTTGCAAAAGTAACAAATTGTTTCTTTGTACTTTTAAGCAATTCACTAAATAACACCACATTAAATTCAACATGAAGTAATTCGAATGTAGGCGTCTAAATAAATTGTCATTAAATACAAAATTCAACAAATATGTGCAAATAAACTAGGAAGTTGGCAACGTTAGTGTAATTACATTTATTTTAACTGAACAAATAACTGAGTGACTAAAATATGAATAATCAAAGACATACCACCATTATCGGTTGCATTTTTGGGGATCAAATAAGAACTATTGCGAGATGAAATCCCAACTAATAGTTTTACAACCTATTGTGCAAAGAAGTATAAAATGAATAATGATTTGTTATAAATCAAAGAAATCGATAACAAATTGGAAGAATAGTTTCTTGACAAATGCGTCTTGCTGAAAAGGAGATTGGCAGAAATTCTTTAATGCGTCTAAATAATTTTTAGTTCCACATAAAACGTTTCTTTAAGAAAAAAATTAGATCTAACAAGACATTCAAGATAGAAAAATTTACGTAAGTGACGGTCTTGTAATCTAAATATAACTCAAAATTAATTAAGCCGTTTAAATTAATTAATTAATTAAACCTCGTTTATTCGATTTGTTTGTTGGCTGTACAACAATGTTAAGTGATATTGCAAACCTTGGTAGACTGGCATGTCGGGTTTTTGATTATACGCTTGTTTGAGAATGTATTTTTTTTTCTTTATTGTATCCTCATTTATTTTTACGAAGAAATTTTAGCTTTCACCTACAGCTGAATCTACACCTATTTGAAAAGTCTTACACGGGTACATAGATCGCCAATCTCCTTTCCCCCAAATTGATTTTAATTATCATTTGTAATGTTTGATAACTTTTTTTTTAACGAAAACGATTTATCAAGCAACTGCACGCTGTCCATATAAAAATATTTTTAAAATCGGTCCGTATAAGGTACTCTGCAACTAAAGTACACTAACTTACAGTTATACCATATTATTAAGTGTAAGGGAAGTAGCCTAAAGAATTAAAGAGCTCTCTTGTGCACTATAATTTTCTATTTTAGAATCTAGAGAGGTAATGAGAAAGATCTTTTATATTGAAACGACTATTAAATATTAAATAAACCTTATCGCGTCGGGGGACTGATATATTTGTTTATAAAGGTATCTAGGTTACCAAATATTATATGTTATTCGAATTTGTACCGGATAAAGGTTGGGGGTCATCGACCTGATACTTCAAGAGCGTCATTGTAAACATGTCTCATGATAGTGTCCATTTTGATGGCTCTGTATTTGACTATTAAACAATTGTCTCTATAATTTATCGCTTTCTCTAAATAGGCGAACTGTAATGTCACTTCACTTTCACATTTGTACATGGTCACCATCAGATGATCTGGTTCTTTTTTTTAATATTTTTCTAAATATACCAACAACAGCTCGTTAATTTTTTTTTCAAATACTTTGATTACATACATTTAGTACAATGTACATAAAACTTTTTTTTCTTTAAATATAATTCTATATACGAACGAGCAAACTTCGATAAAATTAAAATTGATTAACATATCAAGTGTCATTACAATTCGCCATAAGTTTGTTTAAAATAATTAGGGTACTTTGATATTGTTGAAATTATGTACTATCGATTTATGATTTATGGCTAATCTAGAAATATGCAATAATATATCTCATTAAACATTTTCTTTTAAAGTAAGCGTCTGCCTGTAAACTGCGTATTTACAATGTTAAACTGCGCTTTGATATAGTACGTTAGGTTCCGGATAAAATATATCAATCTTAAGAGTAATTTACAAGCGAAGAATAGATACTAATAAAATATTTGAAGGGTACTACAACCATACAAAACGAGCTGGCTTCCACGGTGTTCAGCTTCCAAAATCTTATATACATAGATACATAAACGTCAACATACCTATGTATCTGCTTCGGAATAAATTTAGCAACGCGAATACACTTATTTAATATGATTAGATCTCTTAAAATACTTTATAAAACTCTTGAAATTCGATCGATAGTGATTGTAATAGAATTTGTTTTTTTTTTTTTTTTTTCGTTAAACCGATGCAAGCCAGTTCGATGTCCACTCAAACAGTGCCTGATGACGAATATGATGGGTACATGAGGTGCAGTGATGCGGATGATGGCGTGATGAAGTGTTATGATGGCTCTGCGCTCCGGGTGCGCTTGTAGATGATCCAAAATGGCGGCTCTAACGCCGAGAAATTCTAAAAAACACTCAACACACGACCTCGCACTCCAGCCGAGGACGAGGCCACAGCACACACTACTCAACACAGACCGCGACAATAACTTTAGTATTTAGAAAAATAGGTAAATGGCAGTATTGATAATTTAGTAAGGACAATGACAAAAAATTTCGTCTAAAAAAGTCGTATCAAGTCTTCGTCGAATTTATTGCCTAACAACACGCGGAACACCACAGCAGTCAATACATCTCCCACATGTCGGCCTACCTATCCGCACCACTCCGATCACTAAACCCTAAAAACGCACTAAACTAGAAGTTTATCACTTGTAATCACGTTGCGAGTAATCAATAAGTATCAAATGTATCAAAAACCTTACCTAACTCTCCATTAACGCCATACAGTTATGAAGTAAACGTGCTTGTCGCTTAAATTTACGCTCGTTTAATGGTGAAGCGTTATACTTAATAAATAGACATTCAGTATAGTTATAAGATCCCTTAACCTAAGACTCAGCCGAGGCCGAATGTATTTTAAACAAAAAAAAAGTGAAAATAGATAAAAATAAATCCTAGTTTATTTAAAGTTGAATTAAACATAGCTTCAGTGGTTATCGGACATAATTGTTTATAATGTAAAGCGTATTTTTTTTTGTTGATATGGCACTTTTCCGAATAGGTATTTTTTTTCGCACGCTCAATTCGATCCGTTAATCACTGAAGGTAACAACACATTTAAAAAATAGAAAAAAAAAACGCAAAATAAAGACAACAGTATTCTGTTCGATAACCTTACAATAATACATATTGACAAGCTAATCATATTATTGGTGACACAGCAATGACTTATAACTAAAATCCTTTACCATAATTAAGTGAAAAGTTACAATAAAAATGTAAATGAAAAGTGATAATAGAAAAAAAATAACCTAAGATGGCATCTCTAACAAGTAGATGTCGCCTCCTGATTCAAGTGCCATTTGGTGGGAGGAAATAAAGGATCGTAAAAAACCTACTCAAGATATTGTATAACACTTAAGTTAAAAAGTTAAAAATTTTGCTAAAATAAAACATAACTAATAAACTAAATTGAACTAAACAACACACCACTCAAACCATCCCCTATCAGATAGGGTGATCATTATCACTGAAAACGAAGGTAATCAATAATTTAAAAAAAATAACTCCCCTTTATCTCCTTCAAAAGGAAAACTCCCGATACGTGGTACAATCGAAAAGAATGACACGAAAAAAAAAATGCAATTTCTGGCGCCGCTATACCACTACATAATTATTATTTCCGATAAAAAACAACATCTACCTATTTTAATCAACAAAGTGCAGCAATAAAATTAAAATAAAATCAATAGTACGATCTAAACCGATGCATAAAATTATTCTCAATAATACCAACTTAATTTAACAAAAAAAAATATTTATCACTAGCGAAATAGTCCATGTGTGCCGGGCGCGCGCGTTCAGGCGATCTGGTTAAGGTAGTCCATGAAGTCATTGGAGAACAGCTGGAGCTGGCCGGGCTCGGGCGCGTGGCGGCGGGGGGCGCCGCAGCCGGCGGGGGCGAGGGCGGGCGGCGCGGGGGGCTTCGGCCGGATGGTCGCCAGGTAGCGCTCGGCGAGCGACTCGCCCACGCTCATCGCGAGCGTCTCGGGGCTCAGGCCGAGCAGCGAGAGCGACTCGGTGATGCTCGTGAGGGCGGGGGCGAGGTATTTGTTGGCCTCGTCGTTCTCGGGCCGCGACGCCATGCTAGTGTTGACGACGGGGCGGAGGGCGGGCGGCGAGGCGCGCCTCGGCGGCGACGGCGCCAGCCACGTGTCGGGCGAGGTGCCGGGGGAGGCCCCCGGCACCGCCGTCTGTTATGGCCACTGCTGGAACAGCGGGTAGGCCCGTTTCGTGAAGCAGTAGGCCAGCGGCTTCACGAAATGCACGTCCATCAGGCGGCAGTGAGGGCACGTGACCGGGTGCGAGTAGTCCGAGTAGTTCATCCGCTGGTGCGGGTGCAGCAGCGGCTTGTAGCAGCTGTTGCACTGCAGACAAGACGTTCGAATATGTATTTCGACCGCTTCATAATGATAAAGTATTTATGACAATTAGATGGTCATTGCTCTACATCAGTCTATCACCAGTTAACTGCTGATAGACCCCATGCAAAGCAGTTTACGTGCGATGCAACATAACACACCGATGCTCCACTCCAGATGGGAGGATGATGGATAGAAATCCGAGAAAGAGATTTCTTAACACAAGCTGATTAATGTAGCCGAGTGTGTGTCAATTATTTTCTATAACTTTTTATGTATCAAAATTACTATGGTTAAAAAATATCCCTTTTATGTGTTAGGATATACACAGATAAGGAGTTAGTAAATCAACTGACCTTCAATCGCTCAGCGCAGCAGGGGGTCGCCATGAAGATGTCATAGGAGTACATGGTGCCGAGCACGAGGGAGGACCCATCCCACTTCTGCCCGCAGAAGCGGCAGCGGATAGTGCGCTCCGGATCGCAACGCTCCAGGCAACCCATACACACACAAGTCAGGTATTGTGTGCGACCCTCCACTTTCACCTGTCAAAGACAAAATTAACCCGGACTTGATTAACTGTTACTCCTTACTGGAACTCTAACACTGTCTACTAACCGTAACTCCTTCTATTATTACGTAAAAAACTAATATTAGTTTTTTACGTAATAATAGAAGAGTCTTCTGAAAAATACTGTAAAATAAGGAAGGTATATACCTTCCTTATTTTACAGTATTTTTCAGACTTAAGAAATTGAGACAAATGCAAATTCAACGCCGAAACAAGGTTGCCGTCTAATATGCAATATTTCGCGAAACAACGATAAAATGTTAAAATGAAAAAAATTAACAAAGAAAACTTCTGAAGTACAAGTACGATAGATTTTCGCAAAAACTTACGTAAACTTATTCGTTTTATTGTTAGAACATATCTAAGTTGACTTTTTTATTTACAACAGTATCAAAGATAAATAATTGAGTGTAACACAAAATAATTTCATTGCTTTAATAGGTAGATGTCATTTTCGTTAAGTTGATATAGTTGTTAAATGTAATGAACATTTATTTTTCCTCAAATTGACATCACAGAGAAATATTAGTTCAAAAATAAACTCCTGTAATGCGACGACTGTACATTGAAGTGGACAACATTCTTGGAGATGATCCAAAAAAAGATGCACGATGGAGCGTGAAGAGACGCGCGCTAGGGGACCGTATGCTAATTCTAACGTCAAACAAACACGCAAGCATACGTGTGCGCTCGCGTTCGTCTTCTAATTCGCTGAATAAACAACGCAAGTCGAAAAGTTTCAGTCGCATGAGCGGAGAGCCCAGACGTACAGACTTAAATAAACACTGCGGGATCTTATTTAAGTTTCCAAGGGGGAGCTCTGCTGTTTTTAAAAGGGAGGAATTAGAACAAGACACTCTTTACTGCTGTTACCAAACAATCTCGTATAGCGTGTAATAGAATTAAATCTGTTTAAACAATTGAAAACGATACTCGCTGCTTGGGAGACTAGTGTTATCTATACAAGTTTTTGTTTATAGCTTAGATTATATGTTTTTTTAACTTTTATTAAGAAACAATATTGAGTCAGTTTTTAACAAAATATAAGAATATCTTGTAGACGAGATAGTTGTATTATGTATACATATACATAAAATTCTCGTGTCAAATTGTAAGTTACCATACTCGTTCGAAACGGTTCGAAATGATTTTTATGCAATTTTATGTGTATTTGGTAGGTCTGAGATACGTTGGTATTCTATTTTTCATACACCTTAGTGATAAGGCGACCCCAAACTTTGTTTTCTACCATACAAATTCCCTATAAATAGTTATATGGCAAAACAACGTTTGCCGGATCAGCCAGTATTTTCATATTTCAACGTTAAATATTTTCTGATGATTTTAAGACTTATATAACTAGTCGGGGCTTATTGGAAAAGAAGAAGGGCCAGGCTTACCTCGACAGCGCTGCTTGTGTGTTGGCGCGGGCTGAGGAAGAAGGTGCCGTCGACCAGGGGGTAGCGGTCGAAGACGTCCAGGGTCTCCTTACAAAGGGCGCACGAGACGCGCGGCTTGTGCTGGCCGGCCAACGTGGACAGGATAAACAGGCGCGTGTCGTCGTTACCGTGGTTGCCTTCGTCCTCGATCTGGTGAAGAGAAAGTATACGTGAAACTGTACCGTTTGTCTGTTCGTTCTTTCACCGCGGCAGTCTGATTCGATTTCGATCGATTTCGACCACTCGATTGGCGTGGGGAGTTGTGACCCTGCCTCTTGCGCCAGAGGGTGTGGGTTCGATCCCCACTACTGGAAAAATATTGTGCGATAACATCGTGTTTTTCCAGTGTCTGGGTGTTTATATATGTATAGTATGTATTTATTTACAAAAGAAAAATATGTTTAAGTATGTTTATCAGATTTCTAGTACCAATAGTACAAGCGTTGCTTAGCTTGGGACTAGAGAACGTTATGTAAAAAATTGTGTCCGAAATATTAATAAAATTAAAATATTATTTCCATAGTTAGACATAGCTTAACCAAAAATAATAGTCATGATGGATGGCATCTCGATGGCATATGTAACATTATTCCCCATATACAGCGTGTCGTTACCATCGCGACAATAAATGAACACACGTCTAACGTTACTTGCCAATAATCATAAAAAAATATTAACGCTAAATAAAATCCATAATTAAAAAAAATATTTTTCAAACTAATTAAGTAAAAAAGAAACAAAATTTGTAACATCCTATACAACTACAACTGACTGATTCATACATTCAGGGACTTCTCGTTCGTTGCCACAGCGTCGCATAACAAGCCTCTCCTAACAGTATGTTTTATCTCTTTTAAATTCATTCAACCCAATCATATGCTTTGTGACCTTTACAAATGAACTTTACGTTACAGTTTTATACGTAAGGCTGTTCTAAAATTCTTTGATTTCGAAAATTTAATAACTCTGTAAATATTGATGTTCAAAGAAAGTAAATGTTTAATACAATTTTAAAAAGTTATCCCTTATATGTGTGTTCATTTATTGTCGCGATGATAAAGACACGCTGTATAACGCACGGATAAGCCTATGCGCGGCCCAAACCAACGCGAAGGCCTGATCAAGCTCTGGCTATCCCACGATTTTTGTGTTCGACGAAGCTAATAGTCTACGAACTAAAAGCAAAAACACCTTTTCCTTTATTCCATAATGCCCTAAATAGCTTTCGTTTATTATAGGTTTAATATTGTACGCCGGAAAAGGAACGGTTAGTAGATTCTCGGTTAAGCTTGTATTGTGGTTTTTAACTAGTTGATATAGAAAAGAAATCCATTGAGGTCGTGCGCAGCGCAAATTTTCGACTGCATAAAGGCATATTTTAAGAAAGCAATTTGCGCGTAAGGTGGCAAGTTCGACAGGACGATTTCTAGAACGTTATGTCTGTTACACATTGATAGCGCGTATAATATCATGCGTTACATTTCCTATGCATAATGCTTAAGTAAGTGGTCTAGAAACCGTAACTTTCAACGCGAGGGAAAACAGCGCCAGTAGGGTCGGGCCAACTCGCCGCGTCGTAGAGTCGAGCGTGCAATTTCAATATTTCATATCCCCACATTTGCATACTGCGATTAATGCATACACCCACGACACACCGCGGCAGCTCAACTCTCCCTTCGTAATAACGCAAGTAAATGTCTGCATAAAGTTGAATAATGAAAGCCTGAAAGGCAATTACGCTGGATTCGGAGTCGAAGTCAAACAAAAGGCTCGCGAGCGGCGCGGAGATCGATTGTGGGCGAAATTCATTCGCGTACGAACAATTTGCGAAAGCGAATAATAATGAAAGTTTAACGAAGCACAGCCGCGGCGCCGTGCGGCTTAATTAAACATATTACGAACAACCAAAGCAGCCAGTGAACCGTCCGACCGATTCATCCTTTATACTCCGTATCGATTTCAATATCTATCTGCTCGACAATCAAAACCGTCGCCCATGCAATAGAACATTTCTATCCGCGTGTCGGAATTACGCGATGTATAATTTAATTATTCATTCGATCGGCATCATGTTGTTTACGTACGAAATGAGGGACGCATATTCAGCTGGCAACTGCCCGCATACCGGCGTGTTTGGTACTAGCATTCCTATTATTCTATTATTAGAACGACGTCGTGACACCAGGAACACATAAACGCCGCCGTCGGGGGCGTTGACCTACGCGAACGAACTCGGTATGATTTGCAGCATAGAACAGTGCAGTTTGCCAAGAGGCGAGCGGACGGGGGCGGGCCATCCGGCATAGCAATCACCGTGATATCTGCTTCCCAAATCCGAAGAGGGCATCTATTTCAGTCGAGGGCTCTAGTTCGTTGCATGTGACTTGTGAGGACTCGCTCTCATCGACTGCTAATCTGACGACCACTTCCATTCGCCATCCGCCATGATCGCAGTCGGCTCGTTAATTTGGCGAATGATAAATAACTGGACAAGGAACGTCTGGCCGGGACGCGTTTGATTGATTTACACTGGCGTGCAGCTGGTTCCGCGCGGATACTTTATGATTGATAACAATAAACGGCTACGTGTACACGCTGACGGGTAATTGTCGGAGTGGCGATGTAATACCGTGAATTACGTGCTAAACTAATTAAGAGGACGCCCGAGTTGGCGCCTTAGGACTAATGAGTGACAATTAAATTGTTAACTGTCGCGCGCGCGAAAGTTTAGCGGGGTCGGAGGTCGCGGCCGACGAACCCGGCGGGGCGACGCATTAGCTTGCACAATTCATCGTACACGTAGGTACATAAGTACCGCAAGATTGATGAGATCCTTAGAGCGAGATGTTTACTTACGGAATCCCATCACGGGTTGCGTCGCAATCGTTGCCGTTTACGGTCCTACTCGACTGGAAGCGGTAGTAAAACGATGTTAAACTACTTTCTTATCAACAGTGGCGTCTATTGGTAGACATAGATATAGAACCAAGTCGAGCGTGGAAGTGGATTTAAACCTGCGCAAACAATCGTCAATACCACGGACCAAATTTGCATAGAACGATGAAACTTGGCACCGTTTTAAGTCGACTTTCGCCATATCCAAACGTTGCCTTTAAGGAATACTCGATAGCAATCCCGCAAACGGCTCGCCCAAATCTATAAAACTTAATTAAGTCTTAAAACCAAATTAAAGCCCGATTCGACGTTCGCGGAACTCCGCAACGAATATCATTTACACGGAAGTCTGTTTCGTTTGTTTCGCTGTTCAAATAACAAAAGCTTGTGGGGCTCGTTTCGAGAGACGAGTGGAGTTGAGTGCGCTTCAAACCTCGTTTGTAGCCGACGTGCCGCAAAACGAATGTATACACATTAAAACTTTTCGAATTGAAGGTGACGCTGTAATTGAAGAGACGGTGGGGAGGCCCCCCTTCAAAGAGCGGTGCGCTTTTGCTCTGCACGCGGACATGGAAATTCGCAACACGCTACCTACTGTCCGGCGCTTTGTCCCCTACAAGCAGGGCCCGTCCGTTTCCCCTAATTAAAATTCACGATCAAGTTTCTTTCACCGCATCAAAGGTTGAAGTCTTTAGTTTTCGTTTCCCCCCCAACAAATAACTGTAAGTTATTCGCGTTACATTGTCAACGCTCGCCCTCCATTGTACTCCGCATTCGTCCGCCGAGCGTAATGTTTGTGAGCTCGCGGCTTTTAATATGAAACGTCGCCAGCCCAAAGGTTGAATAACGATAATAAATCCGGGCCGCTCCCAGGGGTGGCTTATTTTTAATTAGGCAAATGAAACTTTCCCCATTATATCCCGCCGTCGACGGCACTCGTCGCAGTGAGCAACTAGTTCAAATAAAAATTAAACGCGAAAAAGCGAAACGCGCGAGAGACCGGCCAGCCGACGGAGAAATGGGAAGCCTCGCCGCAAATCCAATTAGTTGCAACAAGATATTCAATACGGCTGATCCATTCCAACGAAATGTATTATTGGGATTTTTAACATTACACCGGCTATTGTATGGTTTGCAATTTTGTCCTACGGTAGAGCGCAGCGGCCACTGCGATTCCCCTGGCTCGTCCGTTAAAGTTACACCCTATACAGCGTGTCGTTACCATCGCGACAATAAATGAACACGCATATAGGGGTTAACTTTTTAAAGTTGTATTAAACATTTAAATTCTTTAAACATCAATATTTACAGAGTTATTAAATTTTCCAAAACAAAGAATTTTAGAACACCCTTACCTATAAAAGCGTAACGTAAAGTTCATTTAAAAGAGACAAAACATACTGTTAGAAGGAGAGGCTTATAATACGACGCTGTGACGCGAGTTGTATAGGATGTTACAAATTTTGTTTCTTTTTTACTTAATTAGTTTGTTTGAAAAATATTTTTTTTAATTATGGATTTTGTTTAACGTTTAATATTTTTTTATGATTATTGGCAAGTATTGTTAGACGTGTGTTCATTTATTGTCGCGATGGTAACGCACGCTGTATATGTCCTACTGTTAGCAAATGCCCTTGTATGGAGTAGCGAGTAGAGAATACCTTTGTACGGAGGGTATTACAGCATAGTCCACAATGCAACCCCACTGCGGATTGCCAAATTTCCACATCTTCCAAAATTTTGTTGTGATTTCAAGAATACGCGTTTAGCTTCGTAAACGTGACATGATCAAACGTGACGTGATCGGGGTTCTCTCAGGTGTTTGGATGAAAATAATGACAAACTATTAACTAAACCTTCTGCTAGTTTCTCACCTTCACTAAACAGACAGAACAGGAAACGACGATTACAGTCTTCAAATTAGATAGAAGACCGCCTTTAAATAGCTTCCACGTAGAGCGACAAGTAATTTTTCAACTGTGCCATCGCAAACAATAAGTCTAGTAGATGGCGTTCGCAGTGCCCGATACATTTATCCCGACGGCTGCGTTACGTTCCGCTCCATGTTTGCCATTGTCTGAGAGCTCCGCGTTAACTCTCTTTGTATCAACAAATGCTCTCTACTTTAATGCAATCGCAGTGTTTACGCGCAAATAAAATCCTACACGGTATAAATAAATGCGAGCACGGGCATCGGAGGGACGCTTTGGAATTATGCGCGATATTGAATTCCATCCGAGCGCTATTGATTCCGA